AGCAACTTATATAAAACTAGATGAAAGTCAATATTATTTCGAGGCCTGCTCGCATAATGGTAGAAAAATTGAACTGTAAGCCTTTGATCACTTTGTCCTACCTAGAGTGACTACAACTCCTTTTCAATATGCAGCTATTTTTATTAATTTCTTACTACCCTCCGTATAAATGTAGTAGCAAATGCATTCAATAAATAATTTATATTTTAAAATGTCTAGTTTTTTCAAAGGTTGTCTCAAAGGAGGTTGATAAAGGAGGACAGTAAAGATCAGAAACAGAATGAAAAAGTATACCTTCAACGGTAAGATCAAAAGCAGGCAGAGAAGCATCCGTAGGTATAAATTCTCGAAGCGGAACAGTCATCATCTGTAAATGAAGAGCTATATTAAAAATGTAAAACAGAGTTAAACTCAATAAAAATAAATTATACTGACCTTGAAGGAATCCATCGCACCAGCTGAAAATGAAAGAAAACGTTGAAATTAGTCCTTAAAATTTATCCGAATTAGATGTAGGCCAATTGAAAATTAGTAGACATCATAAGACTACTATAACCGTAAAATTTATAAATTGAATATAAAACAAACCAAGGCCGCGTAATGCCGTTGCTATTTGTTTTTATAGCGTAGGAGGGTTTACCAGGTCTATTCTCAAATGAATGAACGGCGTTGTAATGGACAACGTAGATTAATAAAGCTGTGGAAGGCATCAAAAAAATAAGTCAAGGTTACACAAGTGAAGTCAAACCACACTGACTGACTTCTCACAAGATGCCTTTAACTCCCCCACTTTCCAGTAATCCTCAGTCCCTTGCTCTATCCCAATAAGTTTCAACAAATCATCACATGCCAGCGTTTCAAACTAGTGAATAGCTGTTTATGTGAACCCAATTAGACCTTAATGAAATATGATCCTATTAGTACTTCATTATTCTAACATTTCCACCATAAGTTTCTCCTTCTCCTATTAAGAAAATCCTTTGTTAATGCCCAGTCGCAGTCCGTATGATAGTATTAGACTTTATTTAAAGAATGAAAGTGATTTGTCACTTAGCCGGACTGGAAAACGAATTAAAATTGTCTTGACGTTGTCGCAATTGACTTGTGCAAAAAGTCACCAGCGCACTATCATGCGAACCTGATGAATTCCAGATTAGCCTAGGATTATCGTGCCAAAGATAGCGAAGAATGAGACAATGCTTTAGGAGATTTTTTCCAATAACAGCTTGGCCTACCTTGAGTGAATTTGTTTTGACGAGAGAAAAGCGCAGACTCAGTGAGTTGGTAGTATGGTCACCGAGGGGTTCGCACATATAGTCACAAATATAGGACAATCTTTATATAATTTCTAGTAAGGCTGATTTACAAATGTATTCCAAAAAACTTTTATCCTGAAATGAAAAGTAGCCAAAGCTAAACATAAATAATGAAATGCCATTAAATTGCTTGAGGTTCACATAAAGAGGAATGTGATATCGCAGAAGCACTCAGCAAAAAGAATCTAATGAGCAAAGAAGAAAGAAGAATATATAATAAATACGGCATATAGATTTTCCAATAAAAGAAGCAATCCTAAAACTCAGAAAATAAAATAGATCAAACAAATTCACGAGCTGTAAGAGAACATAAAAATGGTGGAAGACACAGTGAAGGTGTCACCAAATTAAAACAAAAAAGTCGCTAAAATGAAATCAGACTCTATAATTGCAGTAGACCGCAACTATAGGAAGACAATACTTTAATTGAAGTTGTGTGACCTATCCCCACACATTTCCCATTCAACGTTTAATTTTTCTTACATCACATACGTAGCCATGGCTAAACATCCTTTGGAGTAGAGATCACGTGAGTGCGTAACTAATCTTGACTCTTAATTTCGCGACGCTCAATCAAAGCTTGGCACCGCATCGTACAATTAGAAGCTGACATGGAAAACTACGCAAGGGTATATCAAAGGGTAATAGTCTAAAACAGTGGTTGCCAAACTTTTCTTAGTCGCGGCCCCGTTTTTCAATTGAAATTGTTCCATGGCTCCCTACCCTAAGTATGACTATTCGTAGGTAAGAGATAAAAATAAGTAAAACTCGTGTATCTTCATTATATTTTTACTTTATTAACATTAAATTAATATTTAATAATTAATGTGATGGATGAGCCTGCAAATCACTGCACATTTTCTCAAAGTAAAGCTTTTACAATATTTTGCAGCTCCCCGGGGCGCCGTATAGCATTTGTGTGGTCTCAGTCTCCTTTCGTTGTATAGAAGTTGTTCGACCTTGTTTTCGCAACTTGGTCATATTGGTAGGAAGACTTAGAGGAACGTGCCTAGTCCGGAGTCCATTGTATGCATGATAATTTCCAAATTCGGACCGTGGACGTGGTAAATTCGCAGACGGTTCGCCGGCATCGTCAGTGAGCCTTGCCAATCTTAGCACCATACTACAACTCGTCAAAGAGACAAGTGAAACCGACCCTTTGATCAAATGTGTGTTAAACAGTTGTGCTAGCTCTCCTGTTCTGGGTTATTCATCTCTCCTAGATCCTCGTATCACGCCTTTAGTATCACATTTTTTTTCTTTTCTTTGCTTATTTTATTGTAGTGTGGTGTGCCTTATTGAGCGGCTTTCATGAGAACCCTCCACACTCCACAATGGCGTTCTCAACCATCAGCCAGCTAGCTCCAGTCTCCATCGCATATATCCTGTTTCTATCCCTAGTACCAAGTCTATGACTTGCTATGCCCTAGTCTCTTGTGTGCCAACCCACAAACGTTGTGGTTCAACATTACATCTAATCAAAGCAAGCAGTACCACAACATTTGTTGGTTTGGCACACAAGAGACTAGGGCATAGCAAGTCATAAATTTGGTATTAAGGATAGAAACAGGATAGAAGCGGCGGAGACTAAAGCTAGTTGGCTGACAGTAGGCCTGTTTTACCATAAACGTGGTTCATAAAGCAAAGGCTTGACCATGG